AACTCTGCATGCTAAGTATTGCCCCTTTTAAAAGGCAATTTTGTAGTAGGAATGAACACGAATGGGAAATTACATTTCTTCTTATTTTATACATGTGCAGTAAAGAAAAATAATAGCTTTCTGAGGGCTCAACCTTCAGAGAGCATAGACCTCTTAGAGGCTTTCTCAGTTAACATTTGAATCTTAAGGTCCCTTCAGTGCTCAGTGTATGCCGAACTACTCTTAGTAGCATTTTGTGCATCCATTCATGAAAATCGTTTTGCCTACTTCCTATTTACAGCTTGCTAGTACATTGAAGAACAGGCAGAATAAATCGTTAAAATACCAGGTTGCTATGCATACTGTTTCTACAGCATTAGCCCAGTTTTAGTTAGCCTGGCCATTTCAAAGGCTGTGTCTTCATGGTAGCCTGGAACAGAGATTTACTAGGACTTGTCAAATTCATATTTAATACATTTACTGTGATCAAAGGCAGTTCCCCAAACCAGGTTGCCCCATAAAATAATTCACGGTCGGAGATATGTAAGAACCCGTTGCATTTCTACTAGGCTTCAAGATCAGTAATCATTTTGGCTGAATTCAAATTGCTTCAGAACTGGTTGAGAAAATCTGATGCATTCTTGCAGCAAAAAGCCTTATCCTTGGTTTATCAAATGGATTTGTCTTGTGTTTCGGACTTCCTGGAACCTGGATTACAGTAAATCTAGAACTAGTACATGTAAAACTCTTCAACTGTGATAGATCGTTTCTGCAAGTACAGGATAACCACAGTATGAGCTACAGTTACAAGTGGTTTCATAAAAAGGTAATTACTTTTCAAAGATACTCGTGCTTAAAGATGCAAGTACAAATCTAGGGGGAATTTTATACCAGGGCCTAATCACTGCCTCAAACTGAGTCACAAATTAGCTAAGGGGATTCTCCAGCTTCCTCAAGCTTATCTGTAAGCATCTTAATATTTTTATCACTTACTGTGAGGGAATCTGCCAGACATTAAAAACTTAAGAGTAAAGGATCTAGTCTAGAAAGAATTTGAGCTCTAGTTTCTGTTAAATACATGGGAAAGAAATTCATGTAATAAATAGATGTTTCATGTTCTTAAAACTTGTATCCTAAAGTTTATGTGTAGCTCTACAGTATTAATTCTTCTGAGTATTTGATAATAGTGGTCCAGAGTTACCCTGCTTTTCACTGAGGGAGTTCTGGAGTGATAGGGAAAGTGGGTTTGGACCCCTTATTTCTCTTTCAGTCTAAACTCAGACATTGGTTTGCATGATTTGATTCATAAATGAGCAATAGTTGACTGGTGAAGGTTCATTTCTCCATATGCCAAGAAACGTTGGATCCTCTGAGGAGATTGAGACTGATGGATAAATATCTGTCACATGTAGGTGGCCTATAAGAAAAGATTTGAGGATTTTTTTTTTTTAAGTCTTTGTTAAGACTTTTTTCCCCCCACTCTTTAAACTCTTTTGTCATGTGCTCAGTGGGGGTGGATGGAGATTGGGGTGGTGGGGAGAGAAGGGGGGGCTGCTGAAAGCATTTATCTTCATTTCTGCCATCACCCAGTGTTTATTACGCAGTGATAGACAGACGCAGGAAAACTGCCAATCAAACCTACGTTCACTGCATTTCAATTGGCCTTTGCTTTGGATTTCAGCATTTTGAAATCTACATCATCTCTGCAGTAAAAGGTCGTTCTGTTTGTGAGGATGACAAGCCCGAGACCCTTGGGTACCCGCTACAGTCACTTGTGATCCCATCAAACAGTGGAAGACCCAGGAAGCAGGAGTGTCAGGTGGCTGGTGGGAACAGGTGCTTTAAGAGCTGATCTGTGCTACCCCCATTTAAGAAGCTGGAGTGTGTTGTTTTCCTCCAGGTTACATACACTGCAACTTGAGAAGCAACAGCACCTCCTGCTCTCATTCAGGCTGAAACCCTGACTGGGCAAAGCCAGCTAAGAATGGGTTTTCGTGCTGCATGGTGAACAAAAGCTCTGTAGTGAGGATTTTAACTTTCTTAGGTTTTCCACCCAAGGTCTCAAATCTTCCCTGTCAACCAAAGAGAACAACACAGTTTAGGATAGCATAGTTCTGTGCCAGGGGGTATTTTTCTTTTTTTCTTCATAAGTTGATCGTCCGAAATGTTTGCATGCCTTTAATCATCTTTACTGTAGGACAGTGTATGTGTGCATGTGGGAGACATCTGGTAGGATTTGTGATACAAAAGTTACTTCACTTCGTTATATTTATATAGATATAGTTTAAAAATTGCACTACTCAATTACATAATTAGTATAAGTAGAGATAACTACTTAATAAAAGCATGTAGATCATGGATTTGTGGTTAGTGTTAGATACACTGGTTTCGAGCCTTTGAGAAATGGGTCAAATCCTTCTGAACATGCACCTTTCACTCTGTATTCCCTGTGTCCTAATCCCTTTGATAAAGGTATCTGTTACCTGGAGCGTTAGCATTAGTTGGTAGCCTTTGCTGACTCTCAAATTTGTGTGGGACTGTGCTGTAGGTGGGGCGGTACTGCTTTTTTCCATTATTAGCTTCTACATTTATAATGTGACTGCCTCTGGAGGTGAAGAGGTTTAAGTAAATGTTCTAACTAACCTGAAGGTTACAGGTAAAGGGTTGAGAAGATCAGAATCTTCACAGAAGAAAATGCAAAACTGTGTACCAACTCCTTTTTTTTTTTAATGATACTTGTAGCAGTAGGTGCAGCAGTTGTATGAGCTAGATGAACTTGCTCTTTGTGGAGCAGTTAAGTGATGGTGTGAGGCTTCAGTGATGCAGAGGGAGAGCACAATTATTCTTCTAGGGTATGTTCTTCTCCAGTTTATATTTTATATATATACCCAGTTTGTATAACCTACAAAGATTATACTCATTGCAAAAGAGGTGATGTAACTTTGTAATAACTGTAATAAGATCAATATTCTGGACTTATGTTCCCAGAGTAGAATTCCTGTTGCTTGTCTTTGCCGATCATTTCCTTGCCTGACTCAGTTGCTATCTTTTTGGTGATATTAGTTACTGTTTCCCTGCAGCAAATCGCACTGCTTGTTTTCTGTTCTCCACATGGTGGCTGGAAGCAAGATAGCAGAAGAGCAGCCCTTGAGCACTAAACCAGGGCTTGCCACGAGAAAACTTTTAAAGATGAAGCAACATAAAATTTAATTGTCCTTCTTCCACTTCTGTTGCAAAGTGTAATTTCATTAATGTATTGAAGCTGCTTTCTCCAGTGCATATTTTCTGTTCAGATGAGCCCTTTGTTTTGTTTAGAGAACAAGGCCTTGGGCATGTGTTAGAGCAATGGAAATGTTTTTAACTCTGCTCTCCAAGTGATATGTCTCCAAGCGACTGACAGAGAGGCAGGTAGAGACTGAGCAGACACATGGTGGAGGTTGGTTGATTGCTGGAGGCCTGGCAGAGCTGAGTACATAGTGTAAAGCTGTCTGCTCAAGAAGTTCTTGGCATATTTCTGAGCTTTCTCTAGAACCAAAAATCAAGACTCAAGCAGCTTTCTTGCTGTCTTTATTTATCAGCACCAGTTTAGAATTTTCTTGCTTACTTTGCCCTGCCCATCTTGTTCTTTACTTTGCAGAGAAAATATAAAACCTGTTAGTATGTTTGTGTTTTCAGGGCTTTTCCCCCTACTTTTTTTCCTCCTTTTTTTTTGGTGTGTGTGTGTTGTTTATTTGTTTGTTTGTTTTTGCAAGCCTGAGCATTCTTCTGGGATTTGATAAGAAAAGTGACTACCCAGGCACCCTGCACTCCCCATTTTCCTCCATCCCAGTTTCAGTTACCAGCAGTCAGCAAGCTCCTAGGTCTCTGTAGGGGCAACTGGCAAAGTTGTCAAAATGATGTATCTTCCATGATTGCTGCTGTGGCAGCAGGGTCCTGAGCCAGCCCTTCTCAGAGAGTGAAGGCACTGACTTTTCTGTGTGCTTACCACTGGAGACGGTGCAGAGATGCTGAAATCCAGCTTGCATAGACTCTGGAAGCCTTGCTTTTAGTCTTTTGTGCTTGGGGATGATCTAGTTTTGCTCTCCCTTACCAAATTCTATTACCTTGAGTTTCTCTGGGTTCCAACATGTTTGTGTAGTACAAGGGCTGCAGGTAGGAAAGCCCTAGAGACTGCAAATAGCATGAGATTTTTGACTGTAGTACTATCATCCATTTGTCTTCCTAGGAATCACATTTAATGCATCCAAGGTTTCTCAAATGTATGGTCACTTGAGTTACCAGTGACTGTTGCTTTCTGCCTGGAAAATTGGGTTCTTTGTGATGTTTCTGAGGTATTCTGCTTAGCCTTCTAGTTTGGGCTATTGTCCAAATCTGTGGGTGGTTAGCAAGGGTCATGTCACTTGCCTAGAGTCAGAGCAGCCCTTGCCTGCTGTAGGTTGGACTACCTAGAGCAGCAAAGGGCCAGCTCATAGGTCTTTCTTGCTTGTAACAACTGTTGTAACAATTTTTTGTTACAACCTTTGCTATGTGGCCAATACTGTAGGCAACCACCTGTATCTTCTGAGTGAAGTTTACAGTAGTAGCAGTGATAATGTCCACAAATGTGTGTAATTTACCAAGGCAATGCTTTTCATCAGTATGTAGTCTGATCTACCTTCATAGCTGTACTAAAAAATTTTGGGTCTGTGAAAATACAGCTTCACTGGTATTGATAAGTAAGAATGCATTTGCATCAAATGAATTGATTAGGATTTCTGCCTTGTGTGTCTGGGCAAGTCTTATCTCTTATCAGCTTTATTTTCTTTCAGAAATGTGTTGCAGGGAGATGCTTTCCTATTAATTTCCTGTGTGTTCTGTGGCTTATTGGGAACATGTTACCATTTCTGTAAATAAGGTGTTTTAAGAATCTAGAGTTTTGAGTATTGGATTTTGAAAGGTTTTCTGTGGTTTTGTCTCCCCAGCTTTTTTCTGGATAATCTTGTAGAGATTAAATTACTAATTATTTCCCCCTTTTTCTGTAGGTGCTGTGATTGGGGATGGACAATCAGCTGTGGCCAGCAACATTGCCAACACCACCTACCGGCTCCAGTGGTGGGATTTCACTAAATTTGATCTGCCTGAAATCAGCAATGGTAAGCTGGAAACAACACCGGTACCTTCTTTTAAGTCTATACCAACCAGAGCTACCATAAGATCTAGGATATTTCAAAGGCAGCTGTATTTTGCAGGCCTTGGATTACTTGATTATCATGTTGCATGTGGAACTGTAAAATGCTTAGTCTTGTGAGAAAGTTGACTAAAGGCTTGCAGAGCTGTTCCTGCTCTGTCTAGCTTGTGTATTCTTGCTATCAGCAAATCCATGTATAAATGGGGCACTTTTCTGTGAGCATTTTCATATACCATTCTCTTAGAATTCTGTTTCCAGTCTCTTCATTCTCTTACTTTAAAAGCTTCTGGAGAAATACTGTCTTTATACCTTTGAATTATAACCTGCTAATGAACTGGGTCTGATTTCTCTTAAGTTATTGACATTAGTATGGATTAAAGTGCTGCAATATATTTTGGGAATCAGGACCCTAGTCTGTTGCTTACCACAGTGTTGCAAGCCCCAGGAAGTAGATGTACCTTCTAGCCATTTGCAAAAGCAGTGATTTGCCCCATTTCTCAAGTGAAAGTTGCTCCTGAGTCAGGAATATAAGCAGTGTTGCTGATCTTATTTATTTTCTTTTCCCCTTAGACCACAGTTTTACGTGTGTTCCATGGCATAAGCTAGCTCTCGCATTCGAAGAGACTTCCTTACACAGGCACAAGCATATTTGGTGGTTGTGGTCAGCTGATCAAAGAATGACATTTTCAGGGCTAAAACTAACTTGACTAGAAAGGCTATTTTTAATCCAGAATGGTATCCTGATATAGCTTGCTTACACAGCTGCAGAAATGTTTGTGGCAGCCTGGGATGAAGCTAGGAGGTAGATTTTCATGAGTGTTTCTTTGTGCAGTGATTTTTAGCTTAGACCATCTCTGTGCATATGTGAAATTTATTGCTTGACTTCTCAGCAAAAGCAGATTAGATTCTGCTTCGAGGGACTGACTTTTTTAGAGAGAACAGGGATTCTGTTTTCAGAAAGACTTCTGCTTTCACAGGTAGCCATTGAAATGAGTTAAGAAAGTTCTCAGTTCCAGCCCTGCCTGTTCTACCTTTCCAGAAATTACATATCTGACTACAGGGGCCTCTATGGGGTAGTGTCCTGTTGCTGAGAGAACTCACAAAAGGAGCACATGTGGTTGACACTGTAGTAGAAGAGATACAAAGAATTGAAATCAAAGATCAAAGAATGATTTGCTCTGGAATGGAGTTTTAGAAATCATCTTCTTCACCTCCCCTGCTGTGAGCAGGAACATCTTTCAATAGATCAGGTTAGTCAAAGCTCCATCCAGCCTGGCTGTCATGGTTTAACACCATGCAGCCACTTGTTCATTTCTTCCTGCCCCTCCAGGTTAGGGAGGACAGTCAGAAAAAGATAAAATTCATGGTTTGAAATAAGAACAGTTTAATAATTGAAATAAAGTTAACAATAGCAAAAATAGTAATGAAACGGGAGGGGGAGGGAGAGAGAGAGGAAGAGGTGGCAGGGGGAAGGGTGTAAGAATAAACCCCAAGAAAACTAAGTGATGAATAGGACAATTAGTCACCACCTGCTGACCAATGCCCATCCCATCCTCGAGCAGCGAGTAGTCAGTCCCAGCCAGCTCCCCCAGTTTATGCACTAGGCCTGATGCTCTGTAGTGTGGAAGATCCCTTTGAGCAGTTTAAGGCACCTGTCCTGACTGTGTTCTCTCCCAGCTGCTCGTGGGGATCAGTGCACAAGGCAAAGTTTTGACCATATGGCAATACTTTCAGTGGTCCTGCAAGACTCTAGAACAGAATAAAGATGAAGTCAGAGGGGGAAGCAACTTAAATCCTTTGGGACTTCTCTGCAAGTTCTAAAGCGGTTGAAGAGTGCTTCAACTACTCCTAGCTTATTTTTTGGCCTCATCTGGCTGCTGAGGAGGCGGCTGCTAATCAAAAAAAAAAAAAAGCGTAAGATGTTTGTTTATAATTTATAGAATCCCATAGAAATTAAGAACCATCTGCTGCTCAATACATCAATATTTCAATCTTTTCCCTCTCCCCTACCAGGATGCTTTTATTCTGAAATAGCTTCCAATTAGCTGGGTATGATTATTGTTGTTGTTGTGCCTTTCTTGGAGGCCACATTTCCGCTTCAAGTCCATCCCCAGCCTTTCTGACTCTCCACACTGTGCTACATAGTACTTATCTTGTCCATCTTGTCTTATTACCATTTTGAAATACTCAGTTTTACTTTGCTTCTTCCTTTTTGTCTGCTGAGTCCAATTCTGGCATTTCTAGACTAGTTAGCCTTATCTGCTTCTGCCAAGGTGGAGAAGGGTTGTATGAAGATGTAGCAGCTGTGCTCATCCTAAACCAGGTATTTGCCAAGCTTGCCTAGCCACAGAACAAAAGCAAGCTGCAAGTTTGCCAAGAGGCATAAATTAGAGATACTGTGAAGTTAAATGTATATTAGTGGAGAGATGGGTTGGAGGAATTTTTTCCTGATTCTTCATGATATTGGAAATAAAACATTTGCCAAGTAAAGCATGTGACCTCAGTAGCTCCTTTTTTCCCCCCATTGTTTCCTATAAATCTGAGGTGGTTCTGTGAGAGAATCTGCTTACATAGAGGGGGCTGTTGCGCATCCTAGGACTGACTAGGACTGACTTGAGCTACAAGTGGTTTGGGAGTTCAGGAAGATGAAATGATGCAGCTGGACTTTGGGACTGTCTGCCAGCTCCACTCTCCATCAAAGAAATGACTCTGTGGGCCAACCTCTATCTTTGAGCAGCTCTTCTTCCTGTTACAATTAAACAAAGAAAAGATAGCTTGGAAGTAGGATGTTTTCCTCTAAAGCGGACACATCTGAGTAAGTGACAGCAGTGTGATAAGTGCAGTCCTGTGATCTCAGTGTCTGGGCCCCAGCACTCCTGGGAGCCCTGGGCTCAGGATGTGGCTCTGCAGCAGCAACCTCACTGATGCTCAGTCCAGCAAGAATGCAAAAGCAGACCCCAGCGATCTTGGGAAAATGGCTTTGCAGGGACTTGTGGGATTTTAGTCTCTTCCCTGTCTTTCTCTATTAATTGCAAAATGGAAAAAGATGGCTTCAGATTTTCTTCTCTGCTTTTGCCAGTTTTGCTTTTAATAGCTCTGAAATAAACATTACCCGGTCTTAAATTATAATTGTCAGTCATATCAGCATTAGGGTGGAGAAATAATTTGACAGCAGAGACAATACTATCTCTGCATTTATTTAATATTCTTCTAGTAAATGTTGCATACCCTTAGAATTCCTGCAGCTAAGTATTGAAAACAGTGTAGACTATAGCCTTTCCATTGGTGAAATATATGAAGGTTTTCTCACTTGTTTATATCTTTTGAATATAGCTTTTCTTATCCTACTCACTGCTCGTTATTTCAGTTTCTATTCACTGTGGCTGAACTGGTCTCATTCTTCCATATTTAGTCATGCATCAGGAACTTGTCATATTCTAACACTGTCTGAGACTTGAGGAGTATGGTTTGATCAATACTTACTGATCCACAGTGGAATGCAAAATAACTTAATAGAGGGGAAAAAAAGCATGCTAAATAATTTTTAAACAGAAACAACTGTGAGGAAAGTGCTATCCACAGCGGTGACAAGGAGTGGATGGTGTGCCCAGCACAGCTTTCCTTTGGCAAAAAGTGCTGGCATTCCAGGCCTTCCCCAGCTTCAAGCGGAATTAATGCTGTAGGTGTAAGCACTCCAAGGTGGCACAACAGCTTGACTAATTTTTTCTCTGATGTTTCTTTTGATGTGTTCTGTCAGCTCTGTGGCTGCACTAATGACAAAAGAAAACAAGGGTTGAAAGGGCAGCCTTGTTGTAAATGGTTTTCCAAAAATAGCAACTATTTACCCCTAAAATAATCTCTATTGGCTTCGTTTTCGTACATCAGGCCTCAGGTTCAAAGAAATCAAATAGCTTCTGGCTTTGTCAAATGCATGGGTATCTTATCTTTCCCGTGTCTTGAAAACCTCTCAGATGCTGTTACTTAAAATGAAACCTTGCTGAGATCACCACCTCTCACATTTTTTCTGCTGGCACAGCAGGCTCTCTTGGTTCTAAGGGTAAGTGCTACCTCAGTCTCTCATCCTTTGTAAATGAGGGAAGAGCAAAGAACCATAATGCCAGTGTGAATCAAATATTGAAAGACTGAAATAAGTGGCACTTTCTTGTTAAGCACAACTTGCATCTGTGATATTTATGTTCCAGGCACTCATCAAGGGGAAAAGATGGTTCATTTGTGGCAGGAGAGCTCACAAAATGTTTTGCTAGTAGGCATTCACCGCACATGTAACAAACTTTAAAGACAAGACAACTGTCTTTGTTTGCAGTCATGTTGGTCATCGTTGTGGACTGCTCACCAAAAAGCTCTGTGCTGTGCTGAAGGAGGGGCAGGTGGGGGGAAAAAAAAAAGAGAAAAAATCCTATAAATAAAAAATGAGTGAACCTGTGTTATATGATAAATAGACTCTTGGTGACTGGTCATCAGAATTCAGCATTGTTTTACAAAGACATATAGTAAATGCTAGATGAGAAAGAGGATTAGAGACCTGGAAAGGAAAAAATTAGCCATGGAACTGCAATGATATGTACAGGACATGGCAACATGCCCAAATCTGTAAACAGTACAAGAGGAATACAAACTTTTCTTATCTTGTAAAAATGAAGATGTGGGATTCTTCTATTAGGAATGTCCAAGTTTGCATTAGATTAAAAAAATAATCTTTAAAAGCTGAGAAAGGACATGGATTCTTATAGACTCTGATTTTTCAGTAGTTACAGACACAAGGAAGAAACATTGCCTGTGCATCTCTTTGAAAAGCACCAGTTGTTCATTGGTACAGAAGGGTCCCTGAGCTAAATAGGTCCTGTTTAGGACCTTTCTCTACACCTGTTGGAGCAAGTCCAGAGGAGGGCCACAAAGATGATTAGAGGGCTGGAGCCTCTCTCCTCTGAAGACAGGCTGAGAGAATTGGCATTGTTCAGGCTGGAGAAGAAAAGGCTCTGGGGAGCCTTTCAGTACTTGAAGGGAGCTTTGAAAAAAAAATTGGAGAGATTTTTTACATGAGTAGGTAATGATAGGACAAGGGAGAATGGTTTTGAACTAAAAGAAGGGAGAACTTAGGTTAGATGTTAAAAGAAAATTCTTTACTTGGAGGGTGATGAGACACTGAAACAGACTGCCCAGAGAAGTTGTGGATGCCCCATCCCTGGAAGCATTAAAGGCCATGTGGGATGGGGCCCTAGGCAACCTGATCCAGTGGAGGGTGTCCCTGCCCATGACAGAGGGTTTGGAACTAGATGATCTTTAAGGTCCATTCCAAGTGAAACCGTCCTGTGATTAAATGAGACCCATACTTTTGGTCTGAGGAAGCAAGTATACAGTTTTGTTGCTTCTAATACCGAGGAGCAACTGACAGTAGTAACATCAGTAACATTATAGAGAAGCTGTGGCTACCTCAGGGAACTGCGTCATGAGTCCCAAGATGCAGGACAAACTTAGGCAGATGCAGAATGGGAATAAGAGAGAACAACAGTTCTTAGACCCCCAAAAAGGGACTGGGCTATCTTTTCTAATAATCAAAGTTTTTTACAGGGTTGGTGGTGAGAGTGTTTTTAATAGTTGTATCTCTGGCAAATGCTCTCCAAATGTAGTGTGTTGTTTTGCTTGTCTTCTTGCTTGGCTCTCTTCTAAGTAGTTATCTCAGGTGTGACAGGGAGAGTCCCAATACTCACCTTTTCAATGTGTTCCCATTCCCCTCCTCTCTCCCCCCCCTTTTTTTTTCCTGTTTCCTTAGATCACTGCTGAATAGAGTATGACTACAAAGGAATTGAGAAAGGACACCCTTTGCCAAGTAGTCTATCTCTCTGCTGTCTTACGCAAGCACATCCTGTAGTTCCTACCATTCTGTCTTATAATTGGTTAAATTCTTGGCTTCTTTCACTGCTGTTGAAAGACTATTCTAGAATCTTGCTATTCTGGTTGAAACCCGATTTCCAAACTCAATGGCTTCTTTTATTCTCTTACCTGTTAGCATTATCTGTAAAGAGAAGTGGTGTTTTTCTGACACTTTTTTTTCTGGTATTTTTTGTAAATACAATATGCAATTCCATTTCCTTACATGTTTGTTTGGGCATTTTATGTATTTGTTTAAGCATAAAATAAATGTTTCATTTTTCCCAGTCATCTTCTTTGATGAACGTGTTACCATTTAGGGTTTAATCTTTCTTGAACATGGCTGTCCCAAACTGTGCCCAGTATCCTGCATGTGGTCTTAGCACATGGTTTTGTATCAGCACTGATACTTTTGCTGAAAGTGCGCTCCCTGGTGCAGTTTTGGATTGCAGTTAATAACAATCAGTGTTATGCTGGATGAATAGCTCAGTCTTTACTATGATTACCGAAGTTGATTCTCCCTTGTTTTTGACTGAGAAGTTCCCAGGTAAAACAAACATTTATAAATGTTAACACACTCTAGAATTCTTTCCTTTTACTTCTGTTATGTCTCTGTGTACTTTGGTTCACTGTTTGGTCTGATAATGCTCTGTTAATGAAATTACCCAACTTTATCAAGAGAATTCATCAAACAGTTCCACTGTGTGCCTAGCCCATTGAAAAAGCTAATAAAAAAGACTGGTTTTGAGTTACTGAAGAACTCCCAGTTTGACTGGGATTACAATAGTGCAACCTGTTGTCATGCATCCTTTAGCTAGTTCACAGCATATACTGCAGTTCTTGTCTTGATGCCCATCTTCTTTTGGGGTGACATAAGTACTTAAATGAAGCCTAGATTTCAAAAAGGGGCATATTTAATTCTACGTTTTTTCTAAATTTAGGCAATATAGTCTTTAATCTTTATTCTCTTGTCTTTCTGTTCAACTAGCTTCAGACGAAGCACTCCAGAATTTTGTCATCTTTTGAACCATCTGTTCTTTAAGGGCCATGTGTATTTTAGATACTGGTACTGCAGCATTGATAGTGACTACCATTATTTACCTTTTTGTGTTCAACACTGTTCTGTTTATACTAGGCTGAAAATTACTGTTTTTAGCAGCTTTGAAACTGAAAAAATGGTTGAATAAATTTAGAGTACAGGTGTAGGTGGTTTGGTACAGAATGTAATTACATAGTCCACTTTTTATCCTCATCTTCTTTTTCATCAGAGTTTCTTAAATGGAACAGTAGCATTTGATACTCAACCACAAAGGAAAACAGTTCCCAGGAAAAATGTCCAGAAGAATTAAAGATGATGTTCAGCAAGTGCTTTAAATCAGCAATGCTGGAAGAAGAGGCAGTCCTGTCTGCTTCCCTCTCATGACCATCTTTTCTACTGCTGCAAACATCTATGCGGCCATGTGGCGTACTGGGTTGGGAAACTCCTCTGGCTTAAAAGTGACGTAGGCAACAGTCAGTAATTTTTCAGTCATAGTAGTTCTCTGGTGTAGTTTTATTCCCCACATGTGTTGGAAAGAAAGGGTAGGGTTTGCTCAAGTATTGAATTACAGCCTTAATTTGATTTAGAAGTTTGGACTTAAAGAAAAATGCACAAAGCACTCTTGGCACTGTTATTTTGTTAAACTAATACAGAATCTAGACCAAGAAGTGCCTTCATAAACTCATTTGCAGTTTTAGATGAACATATCAAAGCCACTCTTTGGCTAGGTATAGTCTGATGGTTTAGAAGATAATTTCTGGACTTTAGAAATCAACAGTGGTCTGTATGATGCTATAGCTTCAAACATGGGAGATGGGATGTTCAAGTCTTCTAGCATGCAAACTTTCTGTATTGCAAATGTTTTTTTGTTATTTTTTTTTAATATTTCTATCCCCTTGAGTTTGAAAATACTACAATCTGAAATTTCCCCATCCCCAAAATAGTGTATGCAGTTTCAGCTTCAAACCTCCTGGAATAATCCAAGCTGTTTTAGTGAAAAACTAGAGTGCATTTAGGTTAGGCTGAGGGAGTGAACATAACTCCAGCCATGTCTTACCAAGGCACCACTGAACTGTTGGTGAAGGTGATGCTAAAAGGCCTTGGAACTTCATTATACTAGGAATGGCACTCAGGCACAGTAAGATTCAGTAGCCCAAAAAGCTTGTAGTTTGCATATACATGGTACAAAGAGTATATACAAATTTGCATGAGGTCACCCAACAGCACAACATCAGGGATTATAGTAAGACTTCTTTTAAGTTTTGTATATTGCTGCTCCCTACTGCCTGCTGAAGAGTTACTTCACTGATTTGTATGAGTGTCTCAAATACTGGAGTAATTAAATGGAGGACTGGCTGGAGAAGTCTCTGGCCTTTCTCACTGACTTTTTCCAAGATTGGTGTAAAAATCAGCTGTCAGAAATGAATGTCTGTATCTGCAGGGAGGAGTTTTTCACTCATCTCCTGTTTATTGGAGATGAGAAGAGTGGGAACTAGGCGCTCCACGAGAGAAGGGGAAATGAATTAAGGTGTACTGTTTCTAATGAGACCACTGCTGGAGTTTGTCAGTGTCATGATTCGAGACTTGTTTAAACTGTGCTGTTCTTTGCAAAGGATAGCGTTATACTCAACAAAAGGAAGGGTTTGATAAAGTACAATTGCTACTATTTCTTGGCTGAAGGCTCCGGGAGGTAAATAGATTTAATTTCCTGGACTCATTGCAGTATCTTATCTCCGTTTTGGAGAAAATTTTACATTAATCAGTGTATTAACGTTTCATAAACTTTTGGAGGAAGCTAAATGTCTTGAGTGCCTTTAGCACATACTGTCTGTTCTCCAACTATAGGTTTAGGTCTTACTTTATTCTCTGTTCAACCTTAGTGCTTTAATCACTATTCCTTTCTTTTTTGTAGCCTCTGTGAATGTGCTTGTCCAAAACTGCAAAATTTACAACGATGCTAGCTGTGATATCTCTGCTGATGGGCAGCTGCTGGCAGCCTTCATTCCCAGCAGTCAAAGAGGCTTCCCTGATGAAGGAATACTGGCTGTATATTCCCTGGCACCCCACAACTTGGGCGAGATGCTTTACACAAAGCGATTTGGTAAGCGTGCAGCGAGAAATCAGGGTGGGTAGGGGATGTAAGAAGTTACCTCAGAACTTCAGCCTTCAGCAAGAAATGCAATAACCATCAGTAGTTATAGCAGCAGGAAATATTTTATTGGCCTTCTAGCCAGCTACAGACACAGTACTGCTGGGGAGAGACTTGTGGTATGGTCCCAACAAGTAAGGTGCTGGTATGGGGAAGCTGCTAAAGGATAGGTTTTTTATCCCTTAAAGGACTTCATTGTCTTAGTGACAGAACACTGGCAGCAAGGAAATGTCTTGCAAAATTGGTAACTTGTACAGGTCTCCTTATTCTTCTCTACCCCTTATAAGAATTAGATTAGTATGGCATATGTTAGGGGAATGCTGGAAGGGAATGAAAAAACTGTGAGGATGAAGCATGGGGAGGGATATCAACCTGTGAGAGAAATAACCCCTCTTCTCTTCACAGGCCCTAATGCCATTTCTGTGAGCCTGTCTCCAATGGGCAGATACGTTATGGTGGGACTGGCTTCCCGACGTATCCTGTTGCACCCCTCCACAGAACACATGGTTGCTCAAGTCTTCAGGCTGCAACAGCCCCACGGTGGAGAAACCTCTATGAGGGTGAGTATATGTGTATCATATTTGGTGTGTTTTCATCAGTGGTTTTGTGTCCCTTTGGCTCCAGCCTAGTAGTCGTTATGATAGCAGGGGTAGCCTGCTCCAGACCCTCTGAATAATAAACATGTGAAGGGATTTATTACAGAGGTATGCAAATGAATTTATTACAGAGGTATGGCAGAAGAACGTAAATACAACAGGATTGTGAAACCTCTTGTTTCAAGTATGATGACAAACAATTCCATGTTGTGGAATACATTCCTAGATCTAGGTATCATTCAGAGTACCTAGTAAGTCTTTTGTATTTTTTCGGGTAATATGCACCTTGTGTGTGGTACTACAGTTGGTTTTGCCTAGACAGCTTATCAGCTGAGGCTTCAGCATCTTTTTCTATCAGTCCTAAAAGCACTTAACCTCTAGGAGAGCAGCCACTAGCAGTTTAAGGAAGGGTAGGAGCCAAGCTTCATATCATACTTGTGAACTGAAGGTGAGGCTTACCAGACTTTTCCTGAGTTTGTGTTTCTGTGTGTACATAGGCATATTTTGGCAATGGAATTATCTTCCCGTACTTCTGCTTTGTGGGACAGCTGAACCATGACCCACTCAGACTCATTTAGTACTTGAGGGTAAAACCTTCAACTTTTTACTAGCTATCAGATAGTGTTAAGAGAACATGTGTTTCTTGCTTTGTTCATCAGTGAAGCACAACAGGTCTTCAGTTATAGTTTAAAGTAGTAAAAGCCATGTCCAGTTGATAATGAACAGAAAGTTGAGAAATCAGAAGTAAGTAATTTCTAAAGCTGAAATTTGGGTTGGATTCAAGTTCTAGGCCGTAGATTCAGGTGACTTGTTGCAGGAGATGAAAAATAGATCTTCAGACCTTTTCACTTTGGGGGATAACTTGATCATAGTGGAATTCATCCCACGAATAAGCTTTTTCTTCTCTCTCTCTCTTTTTTTTTCCTTTTAATTTTTTTTAAAGGCCTCCCTGGTTATTATTACTTTTGGCAGAGCTTTCCCAGTGTAAAAGGGTTGTAGTGAGCCATTTGTCTAATGACCTTACACTGGGGAGAGGCTTCTGTCTGGGAGAAATCCCTTGATTCACCTTCAAATGCTGTAGTCGCTCTCCAGACAACTCATGATTCAGAGAGGGTCACCTCTTCTGCATCATTATGAGAGCTGCTTTATCAGCTGATATAAAACTCTTGTTTATTTTCATCATCTGCTCCATATTATAAGACAAGCAAAGACCAATGATTAAGGTATTCTTTGCTGCACCAGTCAGCACTTTTTCAGACCTGTTTCTGAGCTACCATTCTGGTATGAGCCTCTTTAAGAGGCAGAAGTTAACAGGCATTTAGGAAAAAAAACCCACATTTTTTTTAACAGGTACAGTTGGTGAAAGCTGTGTGGATATAAGATCACTAAGTACATGGATTCAGCATCCTGCTAGATCCTTTTAAAAATATAGTTTTCCCTAATACTTTCAGTTATTTTAAGATCCTAGTGGAATGCATTTTTTTTTCTACCAGAAACTGGAGTATCCCTTCTCACAGTCTTTTTACCATGTCATAGTAAGTTAAGATGGAGAAGTCCTATTAGCAAAACTCTCTCATCTGTCCTTTACATTTGCTCTAAACTCCAGTTGCTATGGCTTCTAGTCCTTCCTTTTCGAGACATTTTTCTGTAGCCAGATAAATCAGTAAGCTTCTGCTTAAATGTTTCATTTATATTTCTTCATCTCTGTCTTCAAATGCTTGTACCCTTGCTGTTAGTCACCATTTAGTGAAGTAATGCTTTGTATTCCCTTAATTTTCTCTTGTAATTTGATCTTCCAGCTTTCACTTTTTTTCTCTTTTGAATTCTCTCCAAAAAAACCCTTCTTCCCTCCCCCCCCCCATTCTGGAATGTGCTTAAATGTACGTAATGTGATAAGCATACTTTTACCAGAAGCCCTCAGAGGGTATTTTTTTTCTGTTTCTTTTGGACAACAGCCTTACTTATGCAGTCAGAAAACAACAGGGCTTTTTTCAGGTTTGGGAGTGTTTTTGGCTGTTTTGGTGCATTGAAAATTTTGTATAATTTTTTCCCACTCTTGCTTTTCAGACTTGCTCCACATCACTGCACTTCTGTCTTTCTCATCTGCTGTAGTTCTGGATTTTTTTTTCTCCAGATGGATTGCATGTATTCTAAAGGTTGCTTTTTTCATCTTTCTTGCACATGTATTTATAGCTTCAAAAAAAACTTTCTCCCACGTTTTTAAATCTTTTCAGTCTAGCAGGATTTGCTAACTAATTTGCTGTTTTCCCCTTTCCCACATCATGTTTAAAGATTTTAAAAATGTTTCATTTCTGACTACTTTGGACTTTGAGCTTTATGCATATGTGACAGGGTCACAGCTAGATCAGTTTGAATTAATTTGGTTAAAGAGCCTTTCTGTTGGATGTTGTTGAGTATTGTTTCAACATTTTGGTGTGCTGGTGCACATTAGAGAGAATCACAAAGCATTTTTGTTGCCTCTGTGCCAACAGCTTGTAATACAAAGCATTTGTTACTCAATTCTTAATTAAAAACAAGTCAGAGCCATGTTTGAAGCAGTATTTTGTGGATATTTTAATTATATATTACTCCAAAACTCCCAAAAGAAATGCTGCATCACATTCTATGAAAATTCTTTTAAGTTGTTTGACAGTTGTTCCTTGCCTGCCTGCCTTCCTACCTGCTTTCCTTCCTACCTGCTTTCCTTCCTACCTGTTTTCCTTCCTACCTGTTTTCCTTCCTGCCTGCTTTCCTTCCTGCCTGCTTTCCTTCCTGCCTTCCTTCCTTCCTGCCTGCCTTCCTTCCTTCCTTCCTTCCTGCCTGCCTTCCTTCCTGCCCGCCTTCCTGCCTGCCTGCCTTCCTTCCTGCCTGCCTTCCTTCCTGCCTTCCTTCCTTCCTTCCTGCCTGCCTTCCTGCCTGCCTGCCTTCCTGCCTGCCTGCCTTCCTGCCTGCCTGCCTGCCTTCCTGCCTGCCTGCCTGCCTTCCTGCCTGCCTGCTTCCCTCCCTCCTTCCCGATTTGCTGGAAGAGTAGAGCTGGCAGTGTGGCCTCTGTCATTGCAAAAGTGTGACAACCTGCTGAATGAAATACAATGATTATTTCTGCTTCAAATTAGCTCTTCCTCCACATCCTTGACTAGCAGTCAGTGGAATGCAGGTTTCTGTTCCTCAGAGAGGTTCTTCCATCTTGCTATTGAAATAGATGTTTTGAAGATGCAGCTTTTGTTATATGAAACTCTAATACATTTAATTTTGCTAGAAATCCATTGGCTGTTGGTGTAGGTTTTGGAGAGAAACATTCTCTCTGAGAACTACAGCACTTTTGGATTGTACCAAGGAGCACGTTGGTTATACAAGTGTGTGTTGTCTGTATACATCTTGCTCCTAGTATTTCAGGCATTGGGTAGGATTCTACAGGTCAGGACTGTCTTGGTTTGACAGTTATGAATTGTGCTCAGAAGCAGAATACTGCTCTGTCATCAAATACTGTAGTTGTGAGCTAGAGGTTCATGCTCCTTCTGTTTGCTCCCTTCAGATTGGCCTGCTTAGCATTTCAGGTGGAGCCCTTGCTTTACTAAAGAACGATTTTCAAACTTCAGTCTGAAAAACAAAAACTCTAGTAGTGTTGGCTTTTAACAAAAGTGGTATGCACAAGCTTCATTTTTTTTTGTTGCTCGTGTTTTGTGTTTTTGCAAACCTAGCTAACATTTCTGAAATTTATCTGTAGCTGGACAGTACAGATAAGGAATTGCTTTTAGCAGATCTCTAGCTTGGGGGTGGTACAGGTAGCAGTGGTATTGGGAATTGTCTGCCTTTTGAGTTTGAGATGGGAAGCTTGGAGACAGGACTCCAAATACTGAGTAAGGATAGGTTTTGTAGCCTATTTTGAAAGCATGGGTGGAGCTTGTCTCTAAATAAAGAGTGTTTTTAAACTACTTGGGTCTAGGGTAATTTCTGAATTCCATATGTTTTCAAGCATATACAGAGGTTAAGGGACTTAAAAGAACATGAAATTAGAATCTTATTTGGAGCCGAAGGTCCTTAGAAACATGAAAGTGTAAGGATCATATTGCCCTGGATCTGTTAGCAGTGGATATTAGTGAGAAAGGCAGCCAGAAGGTAGTTTTATTTCTGGCTTTCACAAATTCTGATGCCCTTGCAATGTTTAATGTTTTTCATTTTACCCAGAGGAAGCTAACTCTGAAATATCAGAAAAGCATGATTACTGTAATCCAAATTAAAATAAAACTTGGAAAGGAGCTTTTAAGTTGAAGATACAAAAAGTAAAGTAGGCGATAGAAAAATTTGATTGACATGAAGCTGAAGAGCAAATCACACAATTTGTGAGGATAAGGTGTCTTAACCAAGCCCCATCTCAGATACTGCATTGTGCTTTGAATGTGGAAGAAAATTCAGGCTGTGGAGATCCAGAATTAGCTTTTGACAAGACTGCTGCTATTTTGGAAACATCCCGATTAAGTGGTGGGTCAGTAGCCTGAATGGAACAGAATATGTGTACATTTCCATTGTAAACAGATGGAGAATTCCAAATACCACAGGAAGAAAGGCCCGAAGCAGAAAGACTCACAGAGTTTTAGCACAAAGCCAAGCTTTTTTTAAGTTTATTAACTCTTAGTGGAAACAATGCACAAACTATGTGAGAAGTTACACAATTTTACTGAGTGCTGTTGCATTCTGAGCTTCATGCAGGTGTCAGCAAAATGTATCTAATGTGTTCTGCAGAGCTCACTCATTGACTCGCTGGGTGAACTATGCATGCTCCTACAGCCATAAGCAAAGGGGCTTTAAGCTTGAAAGCCAATGGCCTCTCACATTTGCTTCACTGGCACACACCCTTGTAATGTGAAAAGAAAACTGGTTAGGACAATATGGGGAGATGGCTTACTGCAACGTGTTACCGCTGGTGGAAAAGTTCATATGAGCTAGCAGACTTTTGAAAACAAGAG